CGGGTCCCCAGCCTGGTGGGAGACCTGCTTTCCTTCCCGCGGGTCTGTGCCGTGGGAGGTCCTGGCTGAATTACATCATTGTCATTCTCTACCAACTATAATCACAAGATACGGGGTGCTCAGAGCCGGCCAGCCCCTGACAGGCCGGTCTGCCATCTTTCCCCTAGAGAAGGTGCCCCTTCCTTTAGGCTGAGCCCTTTAGAACCTAAACTTGCAGGAACAGAAAACACAGGTTTTCCAGTGGATCAGCAGGGGTCATTGTGATAGGAACCTGAACCCTGGCTTTGAAGCCAGAGTACCAATGCTGGTTGCTAACTTAGAGCAACCTGTGTCCTGAGACATCTGCCGGCCCTGTGCCGTGCTGCACCTAGCCAGACTGTAATTGGGTCCTCAAAAGGTCAAAGGACACACCCACCAGAGCGGCCAAACCCAGAGCACTGACATCGCCGAGTGCTGGCGAGGACGGGAGCGGTGGGGACCCCTTCACTGCCGGTGGGAACGCAGCCGTGCGGCCGCCCTGGAAGGCAGCTCGGTGGCCTCACACACTGCACAGCCTCTGGGACCCAGCAGTCACGCTCCCTGGTGTTTGCCCAAAGGAGCTGAAAGCCAATGTCCACACAAAACCTGCACATGTGTGTTTATAGTCATCCTATCTAATAAAAGCCTAATAGGCAAGTGTTCGATCATCCAGTTGTCCATTCAACCAGTCAAAGCATTATATGCTAGTGATATGCTAAGGCCGCTCAACCACTCGCTATGATGTGCACTGACAACCTGGGGGCAGATGCTCCCATCTCTAGGTTAGCTTGCTGCTGGGTTCCGGCTGATTGGGACTAAGCGAGCAGGCCGGACACACACTGGAGTCCTCCCATGGCCCCTCCCCAGCTGGCCACCTCCTACATCCCTCCTCTGATGGTGCATCGTTAGAGTCCCTCGGCCTGGCCTGTGCCCCTCATAATCTGGGTCCCTTGGGGATGTCGGAGAGCCGGTTTTGGCCCGATCCCACAGGCCAGGCCGAGGGACCCCACATTGGTATATGAATTCGTGCACCAGGCCCCTGGTTTTATTCATAATCGCCAACACTTGGAAGCCACCAAGATGTCCTTCAGCAGGTGGAATGATAAGTCAGCCAGACAGGGGAATATTATTCAGCACCAACGAAGAAATGCACTGACAAGCCATGACCAGGCAGGGAGGAGTGAAATGCATGGCTGAGTGGAAGAAGTCAACCTGAGAGGCATCTGTGTGACTGTGACTTCACGATGTGGCATCTGGAGAAGGCAGAGCTGTGGACGGCAATGACCAGTGGTGGCAGGGTTGAGGGGAGGGATGAAGAGCGGGGCACAGAGGATTTTAGGGCTGTGAAAGAATTTAGTGTGATAGCAACATACATGTCCTATACATGTTAAAATTCTGTTAAATTTAAGTAATTTTTATATATTTTAAAGAAAATAATTTAAATGTGCAGCTACTGAGACACTTTCAAAAACTAAACTACTTATGTTGTTCTCCCAGTCTCCACACCATCTCCACCGGGAAGGTTTTCTGTATTTTAGTTGTTCTGGGAGCATGTCCCTGAAGCATCCACTTACTCTCAAAATTCTGTTAAATTTACACCTAAGAGAAAGTTTTTAATTTTTTTATGGTTTAAAGTATTACAAATAGTAGTACATATGTCTCCTTTTCCCCCCCATTGACCTTCCCCAGCCTCCCCTACAGCCTGGCACACCCCCCCCCCCCCCCCCCGCACTGTCTTATGTCCATCCCTCCCCCCCCCCCCCCCCCGCACTGTCTTATGTCCATCCCCCCTCCCCTCCCCGCAGTGTCTTATGTCCATGGTTGTGCTTGTGTGCACGCATACAAGTCCTTCCGTTGATATCCTCCCGCCCCCCCATCCCGGTGCCTCAACACTCCCCAGCCTTCCCACTGTAATTTGACAGTTTGTTTAGTGCTTTACTGCCTCTGTATCTATCTTTTTATTCATCAGGTTATAATGTTCTATAATGTTCTTTATTTTCCATAAATGAGTGAGGTCATGTGGTATTTTTCTTTCATTGCCTAGCTTATTTCATTTAACATAATGCTCTCCAGGTCCAACCATGCTGCTGCAAATGGTAAGAATTCCTTCTTTTTTATAGCAGCGTAGTATTCTGTTGTGTAGATGTATCGTTTTCTAATCCACTCATCAGCCCTAAGTGTATTTTTGAGTGAGTGTATTGGCATATTTTAATTTCAGTGCACACCTGTGTATCACTGGTTTACGGAACGCAGAGGACATCTGCATGCTGTTCTTGTCTTCGGTGACCTTGCTGAACTCACATACTAGCTTTTACAGATGTCCCTGGGATTTCCTGCACAGATGGGCATGGGGTCTGCAAGTAAAGACGGGCGTGCACTCAACTTCCACCGGAAAGCCTGTCCCTTCCCTGCTTTGTTGCGCTCAGTGGACCCTCCGTCAGTACTGAGCAGATGTGGTGACTGGGCATCTCGGCTTTTCCCCTCAACTGAGGGTGGGGCATTTGCTCTTTCGCACTAAGTGTGACGTTAGCTGTAGTTGTGTTTCCTGAGTTTGGCAGAGTTTCTATCAGGAATGGTTATTGGATTGGTCTAACAGTTTTGTGGGGTTTTTTTGTTTGTTTTTTAGGTTATCATAGGCTGATATTTTTCGTCTGTTAATATGGTAATTTCCATTGGTTGAAACTTTTTAAAAAAAATATATTTTATTGATTTTGTACAGAGAAGAAGGAAGAGAGATAGTTAGAAACATCGATGAGAGAGAATCATCGATCAGCCGCCTCCTGCACACCCCCCACTGGGAATGTGCCTGCAACCAAGGTACATGCCCCTGACTGGAATCGAAACCGGGACCCTTCAGTCCCCAAGCCGACGCTCTATCCACTGAGCCAAACTGGTTTTGGCCATTGGTTGACTCTTAAAAGTACACAAAGCTTGCACCATAATCTCCTTTTTGTTGTGTTGAGTTCAGTTGGCTAAGATTTTGTTAAAATTTTTTGCATACTTGCTCAGTTGGTTGAAGCATTGTCCTGTACACAAAAATGCTGTGGGTTCAATTCCCCATCAGGAATTGCACATACCTAGGTTTTAGATCCCCTGTTATGCACGTACAAGAGGCAATCAATGGATGTTTCTCTCTTTCTAAAAAATCAATAAAAATATATTCTCAAGTGAGGATTTTAAAAAATGTTTGCCTAGCCCTAGCAGGTTTGGCTCAGTGGATGGAGATTCAGCCTGCAGATGAAAAGGTCCCAGATTTGATTCCACTCAAGGGCGTGTACCTTGGTTGCAGACACATGCCCAGTAGGAGGGCATGTACCTTGGTGTGCAGGAGGCAACTGATTGATGTTTCTCCCTCATCGAAGTTTCTAACTCTCTATCCCTCTCCCTTCCTCTCTGTAAAAAAAATCAATAAAATATATTTAAAAAAATAAAAATAAAATGTTTGCCTACTTGTTCATGGGGGCTGTTGCTCTGGAGTTTTACTTTCCTATAATATTTGTGTCTGGAGTTGTGCTGGTTCCCCAGGAAGTTTGTGTCTGTGCAACAGTTTCAAGTTCAGCACTCAACATGTGAGGCCCACGTGGATGGATGGTGTGCCTGGTTTACTGGGTGGTCCAGAGCTGCTGAAGTGACTGACTGCAGCATGGTCATCCCACAGCTGATCAGTGCTGGCCTCGTTCTGTAAAGCCTTCCTTCCTTCAGGGCCCCTCTCCCATTTGGCCTGGGCCTGCAGCCGGGTGTTCACTAGGGCTCACTCGCCTCCTATTGGGGTGATGAGTGCAGCGCTGTGAGCACAAACCACCGCACACTACATGGATGTGAAAATGAATTCAAATCAAATGACGGCTCGGAGTCAGAAGTATGGCCAAAACGAGATTTTTTTAAAAAAAATATGTTATTGATTTTGTACAGAGAGGAAGGGAGAGAGATAGTCAGAAACATCGATGAGAGAGAGTCATCGATCAGCTGCCTCTTGCACACCCCCCACTGGGGATATGCCGGCAACCAGGGTACATGCCCTTGACCGGAATCGAACCCGGGACCCTTCAGTCCCCAAGCCGACACTCATTGAGCCAAACCAGTCCCGGCCAAAACGAGATTTTTAATAGTTCTGGAGAGGGCGGGTGTCCCTTGGTACAGGCACAGCTGAGAGCAAACAGGGCTTCTTCCTTTAGTCCCTCCTTCAGCTCCTCATTGGCTGGGTACTACGGGGTCACCTGTTTCCTCAATGTCTCCCACTGGGCCATTTGAAAGAATTGGGCTGAGGCCTTCTCCAGGCGCCTCCACCTCCCGCAGTCCCGGCGTTTCCACCGTGATCCTGGCCCACGCCCACAGTCCTTTGTTCCTATATCCTGTGCCTTCCTCCCTCCATTCTGTCTGCCCTCAGGAAATTCGGCCAATTCCGCCTAAAGCCCTCCGTGCTGGAGATGGGTCACAGGCCCATTCCCTACCACGGACGCGCAGTGCGGGCTGTGCCGGAGCGCAGTAAAGCTGTCAATACCTAGTCTCTCGGCCGGTTTCTCGAAGGGCGTCGCACGCCCAGGAAAACGCGGCATGTGCATGATCTGACGGGCTCTCCACGGCGCGCACCTGCCCGTCACACCCGTGTGGCCCCGTTCACCCGTCTGTGCTGGGCGCGTGGAGACGCCGTGTGCGCCCCGCACGCCGAGTGTGGGGAGCCACACCTCACCCCGTGGCTCCGTGAACTCGGGGGAAGTGCGCGTGGCTACCCCCAGCCGGCGGGACCGAGGGCACTGGCCCCGCCCCCGCGTGCGCGCGCAGCCCGGCCGGCCGCCGCGGTCGAGGGGCGGGGCGGCGGGCGGTTGGCGGGCGGGCCCGAGGGCGGGGCGCGCAAGGGGAGGGGCTGCCGTTGGGGGCGGGGCCGCGCAGGCGCGTCGGCCGGCGGTTTCCGGCGCGTCGTCTGCCTGAGCGCGTCCGCCGCCGGCCCGCCCGCCGCGCGCCCCCCCGCCGTTGGCGCCGGCATGTCGGGCCCCGGGCCGCGGGAGCCGCCGCAGGCGCAGGCGGGCGGGCCGGCGGGCCCCGAGGGCGCGGACGCGGCGCTGGGCGAGGCGGGGCTGAGCTTCACGACCACCGACCTGAGCCTGGTGGAGATGACGGAGGTCGAGTACACGCAGCTGCAGCACATCCTCTACTCGCACATGGAGGCGGCGGCCGAGGGCGAGCTCGAGACGCGCCTCAACTCGGCCTTCCTGGCGGCGGGGGGCGCGGCGGCGGCGGGCGGCGCGGCGGCGGCGGCGGGCGGGGGCGCGGCGCCGGTGTACCCGCTGCTGTGCCCGCCGGCGCTGGCCGACGGCGGCTTCGCGGGCGCCAACCCGTGCCTGGGCCACATCGACTTCCAGGAGCTGCGCATGATGCTGCTGAGCGAGGCGGGCGCGCCCCCCGCCGCCGCCGCCGCCGAGAAGACGCCGGGCGCCGACGGCCCGGGCTCCGGCGCGGCGCGGCCCAAGGCGCCCGACGCCGCCGGCAAGGAGAACGCGGCCGCCGCCGAGGGCGCCTGTGAGGCGCGGGCCAAGTCGGCGGTGCGCGTCCGCCTGGAGGACCGCTTCAACAGCATCCCCGCCGAGCCCCCGCCCGCGCCGCGCGGCGCCGAGCCCCCCGAGCCCGGCGTGGCGCTCAACAAGTGGGTCCCGGGCCGCGGGCGGCGGGGGCTGGTCTGGCCGCCTGGGGGGAGGGAGGGTCGGGGCGGAGGTGCATCCCAGGAAGCAGGTCCGCTGGGCACGGGTGAGGAGCCTCCCGGAGGTTGGACGGATTGCCGCTCTGAGGAGACTCCCAGCCTGCCTGCTCCCGGAACCCTGCAGCTGGCCAGCCCTCCCCGCCCTGTAGCTGCCCATTTTGTGCAGAGCCGTGATTTTGGAGGATGGCTCTCAAAAGAGAGTGGTGTCCAGGGCGTGACGGGGAGGAGGTATAACTAAAAGGTGACAGTCTCCCTCGGTGAGGAAGAAGGTTGAGCTTGTCCGTTTCACCAGTTGACAATCGCTTGGTGTGTCCCGACAGATTGGAGCACCTCTGGGAAATGCGGTGTTACCCGCTAGATGTGATGTAAATGGTGGCCGCGTTTCAGGAAGCTTTCCAGCCGAATCATCACGTGTTTCTGGGTTTTCTTTTGTCTCGCAGTTTGGTGACTCTTATTCGACATCCATCCGAGTTAATGAACGTTCCTCTTCATCAGCAACAAAACAAATGCACAGCGTTAGTGAAAAATAAGACTGCTGCCGCTGCCACTACTCTGCAGCTCACCTACCCCCTGTTCACTGCGAATGCCTGCTCCTCTGCAGGGGGCGCCAGCCTCTCACAGACACAGGTGCAGACAGTGGCTTTTAGTGACGTGAACTTCTTTACTTAGGTTCTTTCATGGACCTTTTTAACTTTTTCAAATAGTTAGCATAGCATTTGTGGCTTAGTTGGTTGGAGTGTTGGTCCAGGGCAGTCTCCATCCCCAGTTGGGCGTGAGTGGGAGTGACCGATTGATGTTTCTCCCTCACATGGGTGCTTCTCTCTCTTCCTCTCCAAAATTTAATACAAAAAGAAACAACATATAAAATTGAGAGCATTTATGTGGTTAGAGAATCTTTTTTATTTGCAAAAAGTTTTACAGGTCTCATCGCCACCACTGTAATAAAATTACTGTGGTGGAAGCATAACCTGTGTGTCAGTGTAGCCACATTAACAAATTGGTTAGGGGATTTTCAGAAGTCCTCTGTGACCTAAGCTTTTCATGTTGCATATTAATAGCTTTGACGTCACTGCTGTTACTGCATTGCATTTGTACAGGAAAGAGAAGGTGCATATTGATGAAGTTCCCCTTGCTTCGTTTTTTCCAGAGTTCTAATAACTCCTGTTCTATACTTGAGGCTGCCAAACATCAGGACATTGGATTACCAAGAGCATTTTCTTTCTGTTACCAACAAGAAATTGAATCCACGAAGCAGACTTTAGGGAGTAGAAATAAAGCTTTGCCTGAGCAGGTTTGGATTAAAGTGGGAGGTAAGCCACCAAGTGGAAGGGAACAGGTACTTCTGCCCGACCTTTGCGCTCCTGTCCTTGTGGTCTTTCAGGGGGCGGTGGTTAGGACATGACCAGTCTTGGAAGTGTCTTCCCCTCGCCGCCCCACTTTCAGCAATTGCCCGGATTACACTTGGTCTGGAACATTGCGTTTGGGGTTGCCTGTTCTTGGTAGTAAACACCTCACCACAAAAATGATAGACTCACATGGAGTTTCAGTTCCCTTCAAGTCAGCAAAGCACACAGGCTTGTTTGTTTTTATTTTCCTTGTGAGTAAGGCTGGCCTGAAATCTGCTAGAAGCTTTAGGGGACAGTCTGCGGACCGGCGGAGGTCTGAGTTGGAGGCGGGCGATAAAGACACTGCTGAGGCAAACTTCTTTCCTCAAACATTAACTCACCCCTTCCCCTGGAAAGGATTGGCTTTCAGTCACCCACCACTAAGCTGGCACTACGCTTTCCGCTTTCCGGGAGCTGTGAACACCCGCTGGGGGAGGGCTGCTGCTTCCTCCCGTGGCAGTAACTGATTTTCTCCTTGTTTTTGTGACACTCGCTACAAAAGCGTAGGTTAACATTTCAGGTGTGAAGGTTAAGATTGATTAGTTCCTATACTGGTTACTCAGCTTAGGTAATAAAGCATTACCAATGCCTGCAAATTCCCTCTGTCCAATATTCTGAATGTGGCGATTCTTTTGAATGTGACTTTATGTGGCTTCTCGGGATGCACCCCACCGCACACACCAGTTAGGTGTGGGCTGTTCTGTGTCTGCTGGAAACATGATGTATTTCTGTAGTTCTGATGTGATCGCCCCTCATATAGGAAGAATCACTTGAAAGGTGAGGGTGAGTTGAATCTTAAACCACTTAGCTTTTGTCCTTTTCTGAGGATTGCAGGTAGAATACCACTTATTAGAATAATTTCAGCTTTCCCCCCACTCTGAATATCAGAAAAATCAAATAACTTGTTGGGTGTTGAGGTGACAGCGCCTGTGGATTAGAAGGGGGGCTTGGGCAAGGCCGTGCTGGTGAGCACTCGGCATATGTGACTTAGTTGTAGGGTTGTGCCCCATTTGGTGTTTGGAATGGGGAGCTTGGAGCTGATGCTCACACGGAGTTGCCTTTGTGTCCACCTCGTCCTCTTCGGGTCTCTATGCTCCTTTCCCATTAATGTTTATGTCTTGGATTCAAGATGCCAACAATGTATTTAGCATTACTAGCAGTAAGTTAAAAATAAATAATTAAAGTTCTACTTTTTTTCTTCTTTTGCAAAGAAGAAGCGCTGTGCAAACAAGCGATAAATAAGAGGAATCGGAGTAGGATACGTCAGTTGGACACCAGTGTGGAGCGAAGAGCCCTCGGAGAGATTCAGAACGTGGGTGAAGGTGCCACCACCGCTCAGGGTGCCTGGCAGTCTGCAGAGTCATCACAGTCCCACCTTGGGGAGCAGTCCCAGAGCGCCCCTGGCGGAAGGTCACAGCGCAGGGAAAGGCACAACCGCATGGAGAGGGACAGAAGGTAATGTGTGTGCATGGGACCGAGCTTTGGAGCGTGTGGTCACCTAACTTAGACATATTAGTGAAAACAGGCACCTTGCCGTAAAAACAGGAGGAAAAGTTCACATGAGTAAACGTGGAGTTGGCTCTGCTGGGTGGATTGGAGTCCCCAACACCCCCAGTCCATCCTGATTGCTTAGAAAAGACATGGAGCCGAATCCGGTTTGGCTCAGTGTCGGCCTGTGGACTGAAAGGTCCCAGGTTCAATTCCGGTCAAGGGCATGTACATTGGTTGCGGGCACATCCCCGGTAGGGGGTATGTAGGAGGCAGCTGATCGATGTTTCTCTCTCATCGACATTTTTGGCTATCTCTCTCCCTTCCTCTCTGTAAAAAATCAATAAAATATATTTTTTTTAAAAATAAAGAAAAGACATGGAAAGTTTTAAGATGGGGGAGGGGCCTCCCAATGGTTTTTTGCTGGGGAGTGAAGCACTGAGTTCTAGGACATGTGAAAGCTGTCAGCAGACTCCATGCCCGAGATTGTGTTGGGACCAGTCCTGTGGGCGTCCCCTGCCCAGCGCACAGTCAGGCTCCAGACCCAGAAGGAAAGCCTGTGTCTCCTGCAGACCACATTGTTTGTACAAGCCGTTCAGGCACAGGCAGCCTCTGTTACCTCACGATGGTGGGAAATACTACTACGTTCCCAGGTGCCAGCCAGGCCAGCCTCATGGGCATGCCTTCCTTCCTGACGGGGGTGTGTCCTGCAGACAGTTCCCCTGCAGCCCTTGTCACCAGTTTGTCCTGGTTCCTGTAAGAATGTTGGGGAAGAAGGGGGTTAAAACTGTTAAGTCGTTTTGTCTCTACATATATTTGCAGATTCTGCGTAGAGTCAGGGTGGTTAGTGTTTCTCTCTTGCAGCTGGGGTTTTACGTGATGTTTTCTAACACAGAGTTAATTAACCCAGTCATTCATTGAGCATCAGGCCAGTTTGTGTAGGAGGCTCAAGAGGTGCAGCTGTACCAAGATGAAGCCCATGGTGGAGCTGAGGCAGGTTACCTCTAAGGCAGGGGTGGGGGCCTTGTTTCTGCCCAGGGCCGTTTGGATATTTGTAACATCATTCTTGAGACAGACAAGATTATCAACTTAAAATTAGCTGCTACAGCCGAAACCGGTTTGGCTCAGTGGATAGAGTGTTGGCCTGAGGAGTAAAAGGTCCCAAGTTCGATTCCGGTCAAGGGCTTGTACATTGGTTGTGGGCACATCTCCAGTAGGAGATGTGCAAGAGGCAGCTGGTCAATGTTTCTCTCTCATCGATGTTTTTAGCTCTCTGTCCCTATCCCTTCCTCTCTGTAAAAAAATCAATAAAATACATTTTTAAAAAATTAGCTGCTACATTTGATCAAACATTTAACTCACCCCTAATGCCTTGATAGCGCCAGACCAAATGATTTCTAGAGCAAGATATGGTCTGAGGGCCGGGTTTCCCCACCCCTGCTCCAAAGGGGTACAGTTTAGCCAGCCGATACCAGGGACTGGGATACACACACACCCATGAGCTCACCAGGTAACAGAGCATCTCCCCTCTGACATTTCTGTAGAAGACATTTGCTGAGCACCTGCTCTGGGAAAAGCCTCACATGCTCACAGCGGAAGTTTGCATTTTCACTCTGCCATGTCCTAATCTACAACAGCCTCCGCCAGCTCTTTCCTTCCGGTCCTGAGTTTCCGTCTCTAAGAGTTACTGTCTACTACGTAGGTTTGGGTTAAAATTAAGCAAGCTGATGAGAGGTGAGAGCACCACTAAGTGCCAGCTGTGCTCACAAGGTCATGAAGTCCTGCGTGTTCAGTGGGAGGCCAGGACGAGGGCCATGTCCCGTGCATTGTTCAGTGTCAGCTTAGGTCAGCTCCGCACGTCACTAGCCATATGGTGAAAGTTACAGCTGGCCTCATCGTGCCTCCATCTGTGATTTAAATGGTCTCGAAGGAGCCCATGTTTCCAGATGCTAATAGGCTGGTGTCTGGTCCCTTTTGAACCAGGTCCCTGGGCGAAGTGAGGCTGGGATCTTCGGGCACACAGCAGGCAGCTTACTTGAGGGAGAGGGTGACCTGCCCAATAAAGAACACGGCCCTTTGCTTCCAGTTTTAGGGTTTGAGTCTGTCGTTGGTCTAGACCCTTGACTCTGGCCCCTGAGAAGTAAATAGTGAGACTCTCAGAGGAGGGTGCCCAGGGTAGGAGTGGCCTAGGGAAGGAGCCTCTGTGAGGGCAGTCGTGGGCACCAGGCTCTGGGGGACGGGGGCCTTTGCCCATGCACACGGTGCCAGGCCCCTGAGCTCTGACCCTTCAAGTGACACACATTTGCTCAGCTCTGTGTTTGCTTCAGATTCTCTGTGTTGCTTTGGATCTTGCTGTAGGCGCAGAATCCGCATTTGCTGTGATGAGTTGAATCTTTTGGTCCCGTTCTGCAATGCCGAGACAGATAAGGCCACAACCCTGCAGTGGACCACTGCGTTCCTGAAGTACATTCAGGAGCGCCACGGAGATTCTCTTAAGAAGGTGAGTATTGCCCGGCCAGCGTGGCTCAGTGGTTGAGCGCCATCCTCTGACCAGGAAGTCCTGATCAAGGCATATGCTTGGGTTGTGGGCTCGACCCCTTGTGTGGGTGTGCAGGAGGCAGCCAATCAATGACTCTCTCCCTCTCACTCCCTCTCTGAGATCAATAAAAACCTATTATATAAAAAAGGTGAGTATTGAGTCCAGGGGGAGTTTCAGGAGTTTGTCAGCTCATCCGTGTTTTTATGTGTCCCTTTCCCTGAAGATCTCAAACTGTCCTGTTTCCAGAATCGGACGTTACAGAGTCATTGTGGGCAGAGCTCTGCTTTGGCGCGTGTTGTCACTGAGTGAAGTGGCCTCCGCCTGGCCTGCTCGCTCCACGGTGTGGAGATGCCGGTCGCACAGGCTGAGCGCTGTTGGGTGGGTTGGACTGGGCGAGAGGGCTTTCAGAGACTGGAGGAGGAAGTGGTTTTGCCCTCAGAAAACCCAAAGGGATAAAGCAAGCAAAGGGCAGGTAAATGACAGGTGAATGGTCTGGACTTCAGTGCATCCAAAGGCGGGAGACCCTTGTGTGGGTTGGGTGACTGGGTGACCTGGGGTTCTGGGGCCAGCATGTCCCTGACCATCTGTTGGATTCCCAGTGAGTGAGTGAGCTTGGGTCCCCCTAGAACTGAGTGCTTGGTGTAGGTCTCGTCCGCCTCTTCCATGGTTCAGAGGAGAGAGTGCCGGTGATGGCAGCTGTGGCTGCTGAGCTCCCCCGGACACCTGGGCTCCAGTGTTGGCTGCAGAGCGAGCGGTGAGGCTGACTGGTGATGAGGCTTTAGTGAAGTGAGCCGCAGCACGAGTCTGATTGGAGAACCAAGCTGAGGTTGGTGTGACATATATGGAACCTTTTAAAAAAAAGAGCCTAAAGTCCTGGCCAGGGCTTAGTCAGTTAGAGCGTTGTCCTGTACACCAAAAGGTTGTGGGTTTGATTCCCGGTCAGGACACATACCTAGTTTTCAGGTTTGATTCCTGGTCAGGATGCGTACAGGAGGCAGCTGGTTAATGTTTCTCACAATGATGTTTCTCTCTCCCCCCCATCCTCTTCCTCTCTCTCTTAAAAAAAAAAAAAAAAAAAATCAAATCAATGAAATCATCCTTGGGTGAGGATTTAAAAAAAAAAAAAAGCCTCCTGTGTCCAGATGCTGGACGCTGCAAATGTGGCCGGGCATGCTGAGTTGCTCTGCTTTCCTTGTCTGCGTCATGTGAGCTTCATATTTCATTTTCGTCCTGGTTTTCATTGTCTATTTAATTGCATTTCCAAGCAATGCTTATGTTGGATTCCCTCTAACGGATCACTTATGGTTATTTGTCATGCAGTTGCTCTTTAACACTGTTTGTTAGGGATAGACTGTGGGGTTATTTTAATAAAATAAAGCTTTTATACTTTTTAAATGATTTAATGTTTGGCTCTGTGTATTAGAGAATTATTAATAGAACTCATTCAAGTACGATGGAGGAATTACAACAGCAAAAACCTTGTTAAATATACACACACTCTCAGATTGATTTATAGGTACTATATTTTATGGACAGTATGAATTCTGGGCATTTCTGAAATTTACTTATATTGAATTTAAAGATTGTTTCTGCATCAGATCATAAGAACATTAAGAAACGGGCCGGAGTGATGGCAGTTAGGGGGGGAATTAGGGAGCAAACAGCCTACACACATGCGGTCCTCGCTGTTTCTCAGTAACTCACCCCCCTACTTGCATGAATGTCTTTGTTCTCAGTACGATGCATGAGAGTCTGAAGTGATTTTCTGAGTTACCTTAGTACACGTTTTATTCCACGAAACTTTCCTGCTTCAACCAGGCTTCTGCTCAGTCACACTTCAAATAAATGGAGACCCCACCGGCCCGTGGGCGGCGTCTCCGGCACTCAAGGAAGGGACACGGCCGTGCGGCCGTCTGAGGCCAGTGTCCACAGCCTCGCAGGGGTCAAGTGCAGTGGCACGCTTTTGCTGTGTCTGGGAAAGGGAGAGGTCGGGGCGGGAGTGGAGGTGAAGACCCTGGTTGAAGGTCACAGAGCACTCACCGAGACTGCTGGGCTGGGATGTGGGCGTGCTGGAGGAGGGGTTGGGGAGCACTCGGAGTTCTGGCTTGAGCTGCTAGGTGGACAGGGAGAAACGGGGTGGAACCCACGGCTTTCCCGGACTGTTGAGTGCCCGGGACGAAGGCGAGTCTGCAGGGGCGGTGGGTCCTTGTCAGCAAGTAGGTGCCTGGCTGCGTTGTTTTCCTGATGAGCCTGCTGCAGGGCAAATGCCTGAGCACAGCAGCCTCACTCACATCTGTGGGGCGACTTCAAAGACAGCTGCAAACGTGACCCTTCTCCGCTGAGCATCTGCTTGTGTGTCATCCTCCTTCCTCACCAGGCCATCGTCCTGCTCCCTACATTGATTGTAGTTCTCTGATGTTGTCTCATAGTCACAGGTCCCCAAAATGCTTTTAAGACGACTCAGCTGTGTTTTTCCCCAAACAAGTGACCAGCCATGGGGTTTGCATTTCATTATATTCAGCAGCCTCTAAGTGGGGGTCCCTCCATTAGCTACTGTGGCATCCAGGTGTCTGAGGGATTGTGTACTTAGATGGCTCACTTTACTTACTTACGGCAGTTTAAAATTTGATGCAATTTCAAACTTAAATGACAAGAATAGGACTGAGAGCCCCTCGAATACTCTCTCGGCTTCGCCCAGAGCTGCCAGCTGTTGGCATGTTGCCCATTTGCTCCGTTCTGTGCAGAATCTGTATTTTTCTGAACCTTTGATAGTTGTAGACATAAGGCCGCTTTCACCTGGCCTGTGTGTGTTTCAGCTAGAACGCGTGGTCAGAGGCAGGAGTTCATACTGACACTGTTACCGGTAGTTCAGAGGCAACATTTACACTGCACCTGTTGTCCTGGGGGTGTCCCCACTCAGAGTCCAGTCCAAGGTCACAGGGCTCCCCGGCCGGCTGTCATTCATCCCTGCCTCTCTGCTGTGCACTTTCTGGTTCCACCTGAAGTCGGGGGACGGACAGCTTGGCCAGATGGTCACCTTCCTTCAGTACTGCTCGGTGATTAGGTGCAAAGGTGCTGTTACTTGTCCCATAGTTACTCACCTTTCAGAACCCGGCCCATGTCCCCTGCCAGCAACTATCCCCTTCCTTGCTGCTCAGCTGCACCGCTCAAAGGAATTGCCTGTTCCATCTCCTTTCTCCAACTGCCTTGGACTGCCTAGTGCCTGTTTAGCCAGTGATGGGTCAAAGGTAATTGTGCTGACCTGACCTTGACCTCTGCTGCCAGTCCCCAGGTCTCCACCCTCCCTGGTGTTCCTGCTTCTCTTGGGGCACCTTCTCCCCTTCCTTCTTCTATAATGTTACTCCCTGCCCCCCGTTCAAACAGTCTGGGAGTGGAGCGGCTGGGGACCTCACCGTTGGTGCACAGTGAGTGCACGTGACCCCTCCCTTATCCCCTCCAACAGGGCCTCTGCTCCTGGGGAAGGAGAGTGGCCGCCTGGTGTGGTGGGCTGGCACTGGGTGGGGAGACCCTCCCACTGTGTGGGGAGTGCATCGCAGCTTTGTGCTGATGAGCTCGTTCCGACCTCGTTCTTTTGTCCCCCCTCCTGTCCCTCACCCAGTGGCCTGGCTCTGCTGTGATGTTCCTGGAGCACTGGCTCCTGGTCTCTTTTGGCCTCTTGGGCTGGGAACAGGGGGTCAGTAGGAGTGTGTTTTCTGTCCTAATTTGCTTTTACTTTAATTATTTTTAAACCTTTCCTCTCTTCTTTTTAAGTTTAGATTTTCTGGTGCTTAAGTTGCAGGCTTACTTCATTTATTTTCAGCCTTTCTCACCTCTTGGTCAGTGAATATAAAGCAGACTGGTCTCCGTGCTCCTTGGGGAACATCCCCAGCGCAGGGTAACGCCTCATCGTCTCCAAGTCTGATGTCCTTAGTTTGTCTCTGCATGAGTCCTGCAAAGGAGGATTTTCATTTCCCACAGATTTTCATTCTTCCTGTCTGTCTGTCTGTCTGTCTCTCACATTGTGATCAATGAAGATGGTCATATGTGACCTCTCTTGTGGTCAATTGTTTTAAAAATATATATATTTCTTTGTTGATTTCAGAGAGGAAGGGAGAGGGAGAGAGAATCATCACTGATGAGAGAGGATCACTGATCAGCTGCCTCCTGCACGCCCCCTACTGGGGATCAAGCCCGCAACCTGGGCATGTGCCCTTGACCAGAATTGAACCTGGGACTCTTAAGTCTGCAGGCCAACGCTCTATCCACTGAGCCAAACCGGCTAGGGCTGTGGTCAATTTTTTATAGTTCTGTGGTCACTTGGAAAGAACGTGCACCCTTCATTTGGTGAAGTCCATGTTTGTTAGGTCAAGATTATGAATTGTGATTTTGTACCCTCTGGTCCCCAGAGACCTGTATGACATCTCCCACGGAGATTGGATTTGTCCCCTTGAATTCTGTCTAGGTCACACAATTCAGAGCTTGGTTAGGCCCTCACATGCCCTGTTCCACTTGGATTGTGGCTGTTGTATCAGTTCCAAGACCTTCGTGTGTCTTTAACCCTTTGTCTCTGTGCTGACATGAGTTCTTACTCGTCGTAACTTTCTGACATGTAATCAGAACCACCTCCTTCCTCTTAAAAAATACAGTTTTTGTTATTGGCATTCTCATATTTACACATCTAACATGAATATCAAGCTCGGCCAGACGGCATGTCAAGGTGTTCTGATAAATCGTAAAAATCCCTTAAAACTCAGCCTTTTTGCTTGTTTGGATGAAAACAGATGCTAATTGAGAGAGCAGAATGACAACGACTAGCTGACCTTCAGCTCAGCTGAGGAAGGTTAATGAGGCCCCTGTCTCTGTTTCACAGTCACCCCAACTCCCAGGGACTTTGTTCCCTAGGACCCCAGGAGAATCCAGATGGAGCATGGCTCAACCCACTTCTGGCAAAATACCGAAAATGAAGGTGTGCCAGGGTTAGCCTCATGTGTGAAGATGGCTTAGAAAATCTCTCCAAGTACTTTTTTCCATCTGAGAAATGGCTGTTTTGTTTCTGACTTCTATTTAGTTTTTTAAGAAAATACGTTTTTATTGATTTCAGAGAGAGAGGAAAGGAGGGAGGGATGGGTGGGAGAGAGAGAGAGGGAGAGAGAGAGAAATGTTGATCAGCTTCCTCCTCCATGCACCCTGACTAGAGAGTGAACCTGCAACCTAGGCATGCACCCTGACCAGGAATTGAACTGGCAACTTCACAGTGCACAGGATGTCACCCAGCCAGTTAAACCACACCGGCCAGGGCTTTATTTGGTTACTGAGGCCCCTCGCACGAAAAGCCGTGCAGTAGCCCTCCTCCCCTGGCTGCCGGCACCAGCTTTCCTCCGGCGCCCGGGCCCGGCCTTCACCCTGGCCCGAGCCTTCAGTCTTTTTTTTTTTTTTTTTTTTTTTTTTTTTGATTTTTAAAATACATTTCATTGATTTTTTTACAGAGAGGAAGGGAGAAGGATAGAGAATTAGAAACATTGATGAGAGAGAAACATGGATCAGCTGCCTCCTCACTCCCCCCACCGGGGATGTGCCCGCAGCCAAGGTACATGCCCTTGACCGGAATTGAACCTGGGACCCTTGAGTCCACAGGCTGACGCTCTATCCACTGAGCCAAACCGGTCTCGGCAATTATTAATGTAGATTTTAAAAGATAAATTCTAGTCCTGGCTGGGTAGGTCTGCTGATTGAAGCATCATCCCAGTGCACCCAAGGTTGTGGCTTAATCTCTGGTTGGGGCATATATGGGAATCAGCCAATGAATGCATGGATGAGTAGGTCAACAAATTGATGTTTCTTCCCCCACCCACTCACCCACCTCCCTTTCTCTGAAATGAATTTTTTTTAAAAAAAAAAAAAGTAAATTTGACCCTTTCAATATAGGCAGATATTTTATTTTGGGGCTTTGGGTATCAGAACCCAGGGAATTATCAATATGTGATTTGTCTTAAGTTGCACTAAGACCTTACAAAGTTTAGAGTATATTTATATACATATATGGCTTCTGAGTGAAGCTGTACATGGCAGGATCCTTGATCATAATACCACTGAGACTGCAGTCCAGTGGAGTGCCTATCACTCCAGAAGACTGGGGTCAGCCAGTGCCCACAGAGTGCTGCCACTTACCTTCCTGTCATGAATGAACTATACCCTCTTACAGCCAGCAACCAAAAGACAAACCTGATTCAAAGGACCTGACAAGACACCTCCACAGAGGCCATGCAGATGGCTAGTTAGCACATGGAAACATGCTCAGAATCACTACTCATCAGAGATGCAAACACAGTGAGATATCACCCCATACCATCTGTGGTGGCTACAGAAGAAAAAAACACAAAATAAAAAACTAAGCAGATGTTGACGAAGATGTGGAGAAATTGGAGCCTTTGGGATTGCTGGTGGGATTGTAAATTGGTGCAGCCAGAGGGGGAACCAGGATGGCAGCATAGATAACACCAGTGCTCGCCACCTCTCAGCCACATCAAGATGACAACTAACACAGAAATGCAGAATGGCCATCGTTCAGAACCTGGAATCTGGCTCAGTGGAAGTCCTACAACTAGAGAAGTGAAGGAGAAAGCACATTGAGACTGGTAGGAGGGGCAGAGGTGCAGAACGGGCTGGTCCAACACCCATGAGTGGCGTGCTTTTGATTGGGAAGGGTATCTCCAAGGCCTCCCATGAGAAGCAGGAGGTCCCAGCCCCACGCTAGACCCCCAGCACAGGATTCCAGAGTTGGGAAGAGAAGTCCCCATAATTTCAGGCTGTAAAAAACAGGAAGGAATTGTGGCTGAGTGACACAGAAGCTGCCGAGACCCAGGTTTTCCTCTTAAAGGGCCCGAACACAAACTTACATGGTCCTGCTTTCTCTGAGCTCCAAGGGTGGGGGAGCCAGACACATACAGGGAGAAACTAGACTGTCTGGCATCGGGCAGGAGCTCAGAGGCGGCTTTATCCCAGATGGTGCTCGCAGGGGTCATTGTTCCTGTGCTGGGACCTCCCCTGTTGCAGAGCTGACTGGCAGCCATATCTGAGTTTCCATCAGCCTTGGCCCACACTGTTTGCTCCACCTGGTAATTCCCTGAGACCCTGCCCCATCCGATTGGCAGCCCCACCCAAGCTGTTTGCAGTGGCTTTTCTATATGAATGGTCTGTCCTGGCTCAAGCTTCAGATTTTCTTAAAATCTCTCAAGCAGCAGCTGGCTTCAAATCTATACTAACAAAAGAGTGATATGCTAATTAGACTGGGAGACCTTCCAAACAAAGCTATGGTGGCGGGGCCTAGACAGAGGTGGTTAGGGGCAAATGGCCGGGGGGGGGGGGGGCAGTTGGGAGCAAGCAGGCTGGCAAGGGGGGAGGCAGTTGGGGGCAAGCATGCCAATGGGAGGAGGGCAGTTGGAGGCGATCAGGCTAGTAAGGTGGGAGGCAGTTGGGGGAGATCAGGCAGGCAGGCAGGTGAGCAGTTAGGAACCAGTGGTCCTGGATCAGGCCTAATCTGGCAGTTGGACATCCCTCGAGGGGTTCCAGATTAGAGAGGGTGCAGGCTGGGCTGAGGAACACCTCCCCCTCTCCCTCCTCCATGCATGAATTTTGTGCACCAGACCACCAGTCTATCAATAAAAGGCCTAAGACCTGGCACCAGTACCAGCCTGCCTTGCTTCACAGCTGGGCCTTGCCTGAGCTCTTCTTAGCCCAGTGTAAATAAGTAGCAGCCATCTGCAGATCTCTTTGTAGCTTCTGCAGAATGACTGCAGGCAGTGGCCAACTTTTCACCCTGGGAGGCCACAGAGCCTATACCTCCAAAAGTAACACCGTCAAAGGTCAGATTCTATGAGCACCAAAGCCCTACTGAAGCAAGTCCTGTTACAGTCGAGTGTCTCCTGCACAGCAGCTTTTACATTGTAGACACAGCTGGTCATCAGCCAGTTGGTCTGGAGGTCAACTCCTTCCAGTGACTTCCTCAACAGAAATCAAGGGTCAACTGCAACAAGACTGGACATGCACCTAGAGTGCCCAGCTCAAGTAACTAAAGAGATTGAGTCACTAGGCCCTACAGGACACCTAATCCACAAACCATTCTACGAATTCTAGGAGACATTACAGCTCTACCTAATACATAGAAACACAGGGAAACAGCAAAATATGGAGAGACACATATTACAAATGAAAGAAATGGAAGCAAGGAAACTACTAGATTCAGAGTTCATAACAATGATTATAAGGTTGCTCAAAGCTCTTAATGAGAGCTTCAGAGGACTTATTAAGATATTCAAGGATCTTTGTGAAAAAGGGCCAGTCAGAAATTAAGCCTACACTAACTGAAATAAAGTAATTTACAGGGAATCAACAGTAGAGTAGAGGATTTTGAGAATCAAATCATTTGAAATAGGAAGCAAAAAAGAAACAAAGAGCAAAAAGAATCCAAAAATATGAAGATAGTATAAGGAGCCTCAGGGACAACTTGAAGTATATCAACACTCACATTATGGAGGTGCCAGAAAGAAAAGAAAGATACTGAAAACTATTTGAAGAAATAGTGACACAGAACTTCCCCTACCTGATGAAAGAAATAGAATTACAAGTCCAGAAGTGCAGAGAGTCCCAAACTAGGAACCCAAAGAGGACCACACCAAGACACATCATAATTAAAATGCCAAGGGTTAAAGAGAAAATCTTAAAAGCAGCAAGAGAAAAGCAGTTAGTTCCTTCAAGGGAGTGCCCATACGACTGTCAGCTGATAGTTTCAACAGAAATTATGTAGGCCAGAGGGAGTGGCAAGAAATGTTAAAAGTGATGAATAGCGAGGACCTACAACCAAGATTACCCAGCAAAGCTATTGTTTAAAATTGAAAGTCAGATAAAGAGCTTCACAGGCAAGAAAAAGCTAAAAGTTCATCGCCTCCAAACTGGTATTACATGAAATGTTGAAGGGTATTCTTTAAGGAAAAAAAAAAACATGAACAATAAAATGGCAATAAATACATATCTACCAACAATTGAATCTAAAAAAATAAACAAGGAATCTAATGAACAAAATAGAATCAGAGGCATGGAAACAAAGAACAGACTGACGAATTTCAGAAGGAAGGGGTGAGTGGAGTAGGGAAAGATTAACTGAAGATCTTGTATGTGTATATGCATTACCTATGGACACAGACAATAGAGTGGAGAAGGCCTAGGGTGGAACCAGGTTGGGGGGAGAAATGGTAAAATTCCTGCTGTATATATATTTTACCACAATAAAAAACATAAACCCGGATCTAATTATTTAAGAATGCTTAAAAAAAAAAAAAGACATTTGGAAATTTATATGGTTATACAACAGTGTGAATATATTTCATGCATCTGAATCACACACAAATGGTTAAAACTGTAAAGTTCATACTGTATATACTTTACCACAGTAAAATAACAAATGCAAATGTGGTTGCTTTTAAACTATAAGACGCTCTTAGAGTGTGACCAGGTATTGTGAGAAGCTGTTGGAAAATTAAATAAAAATAAATGTTTAAATCCCTATTTTTATCATACAGACCCCTAGTAAGATGTGATGTAGATTTGTGAACCAGTAACCCAAGTACATGCCCTTGACCGGAATGGAACCCAGGGCTCTTTAGTGCGCGGGCTGACGCTCTAACCATTGATCCATATTGGCCAGGGCTAACTGTATATTTTGAAGTAGGTTAGCTCTTACTTTCAACCTTTTGTATTTTCAAAGAAAGCAGTTTTCATGTCTATGGATTGGTACACTAATGATCTTTTTTCAACTGTAGGAATTTGAGAGTGTGTTTTGCGGTAAAACTGGCAGGAGGCTAAAGTTGACCAGACCAGACTCCCTGGCGACGTGTCCCGCGCAGGAGAGTCTGCAGAGCAGCCCTGCCATGGAGATCAAGTGAGCGGACTGGACACTGGTTCCGGGAAGCAGGCGGCCTCCGCCCAGCCATGGGTGTGTCCAAGCCCTGGAGCTCTGCGCCAACCGTCAACTCTCAAGGGACGTGACTCAAGTTGGGACTCCAGTGGGGACTTTGAAAGCACATTTTGTAAAAATATTATCTAGAACAAAATCTCAAACAAAGTATTCATCCATTAATGTCCTCTTAGACCATCGGGATGCAGACACAGTGACAATTAGTAATTTTCAATTATCTGTCTGATTCCATCATGTTTTCTTAACATGATAACTTAAAAAATTAACACCCTTTGTAATTTCTTTAGTCTTACAAGGTACACTGCTTTTTACTTATTTCCTTTACATTTAAAAATGCCCCCTTAGCAATTGGAAAAGTCAAAATGTTCTTCACTAGAAGTAGTTTGGAAATTCATTTCATTTGTTTATCGCCTCCCCTTGCAACGGCTTCCAGTCACGTGGACTGCATTGCAGAATTTTGCTAGGAATTCCCAGAGACATCCTTAAAGCTCCTTTGGTCCATAGAGGCGATGTCACTGGGGCTGCTGGTGACTTCGCTTTCCCACTGAGAGTCATTCCTTTTCATGTAATAAACTATTGTTTGGAACTGAATGTTTCAAACGAGTGGCTTTATTCATTACAACTGGCTTAGTGCAATACAAAGTCACCGTCAATAAATACTGTTGGTCAGAGACAGAAGTTTTACACAAAAGAAGCAGGTGGGTCAGACTAGACCTTGGTGCAGAGGGTACTGTATGTGAAATCCTTTTTTTGTTACACTGTGGTCAGTCATAAATTTGAATTTATCATTTTATTGGGATTATATCTTAGTGTACACAAATGCCATGTAAACAAGTTGCTGGATTTCTCATGGGCTTGTACACACTGTGTACTCCCTGTCCACACAGGGCTGTGTTCAAGGTCCAACATCACAGCCAAACGGCCGCTGTACACACACCAGTCAGGACTTCCCCAGCAGCTGGAGGATGCTCTCGGGGCCGAGAATGCAGGCAGGCAGGCAGCAAGGCCTCGCTGGCGTCGCACACGGTGTGGCTCTCCTCAGAAATGGACGCTGCTGGTCCCAGTGTCCCTCCAGAGCCTCTGCTTCGATTGGCGTCACTCACTTTCTAGGCTGTGTTTTAGGAGCTTCTAGGACCTGACTTTTCGCTGCTGCCCATCACGGCTCCTTGGCAAGCCGAGGTGTCACAGATGCCGGGGGTCCCCTGAGCACCAACAGCACCAGGGAGGCCAGGGTCTCCGGGCAGCCCAGGCTCACCGTGGGCGCCGTCTTGGCCGTCTTTGCCCACACCAGGCACACCTTGGGGTCCTTGAGACAGAAGGAAGACGCGTGTAGATGTTGTGAGACTGAACCCCAGTGGGACTCCCGTCCTCCTGCAGGCCTCCCCACACTGTTACTGGCTTGTCTCCAAACCCTGGAAACCGAGGGAGGAGAGCCCAGGCCTGGAGAGCCGCAGGGCAGAGCCCCTGGGCGGGAGGCTGGCGAGGCAGGGGCAGGGTCTGGGTCGCATCCAGTGTGGCAGCTCAGACTACGCTCAGGGGCACATGGGGGTGGTGGCAGGAGTGAGAGGTGGGGATGCATGGGAAGGAGGGATGGGGAGCCAATAGAGACTCTCACTAGGGGTCACCTGATTGGGGTGGTGGCAGAGGAGAATCAGCAGAGGAGAAGCCAGGAACCTGGGGTGTGTGGGAGGTGGGGGGCAGTGAGGTTTTGGGGAAGGCCCTGCTCCCTTGTGTGGACTCCCAGGATGTGAGTGCAGATGAAAATGACCCCAAACAATCCCCCAGAAGGCGGGGGGGGGGGGGGGCAGGGGGGGCTGGCCTTCGCCGAGGGCAGCTCTTATATTTGACATTAAAACGAACATTCAGGGGGGATTTAATTCAGGGTACTTGTGGGTCCATTAAGAGAATTCTGTTAGAATTTAAGTGAAATGGGTACTAGATGGCCTTAGTTAAACCCTTGAACAGAGTCTGCTTCACTAAAGGAGAGCAGGAGGCCCTGTCTGGCAAACCGATCACCCATTGAAGTAGTTGTCAGAGGGTCGCCCGGGAGAGCAACTCCTCTGTCAGACCCGAGACCCCCGCCAGTGCTGCCCACAAGGGAGGGACTGGGAAGGCCAAAGACACGCCCGTACCTGGGAGGCCCTGGTCTCCGTCCGGCCCGTCCAGGCCCGCGCCCGCCGCGCCTTTGTCTCCGCGGTCCCCCTGGCCGCCTGCAGGTGTGACAGAGCCGATGTTGAGACTGCGAAGGCTTCGGCGACAGCCACACCGCACGCACAAGGCTCCACGCGGGAGCCGGCCGCGCTGGTGCTCCCTCTGCTCGGAGCACTAAGCCTGTCACACGCTGAGCATTCCACTGTGTCCGTTTCCCACACGGCCACGGCTGTGCACAGGTGTTTTACATGTGCGCCAGCAGTGGGACCCTGGCCACCCCTCCCACAGCTCTGGTCTTTGCAACACCGAGGCCTCCCACGGGAGTCCTGTGTGCGGGCCTGCTCCTGTGTGTGGGCCTGGCTCCAGGTAAGGGGAACTGCCTGAGGCAGCGGAGCCTGTCTGCTGCCCGGTGACCAAAGCCCCGCCTCCGTGGGGCCCAGTGAGCGGGGTGAGGGGAGGGGAGCCGAGTGGTGTGAGGGGAGCGGAGTGAGGGAAGGGGAGGGGTGTGAGGGGAGGGGAGCGGCGTGAGGGGAGGGGTGTGAGGGGAGGGGAGCGGTGTGAGGGGAGGGGTATGAGGGGAGGGGAGGAGTGTGAGGGGAGGGGAGCGGAGTGAGGGGAGGGGAGGAGTGTGAGGGGAGGGGAGCGGGGTGAGGGGAGGGGAGCGGAGTGAGGGGAGGGGAGGGGTGTGAGGGGAGGGGAGCGGAGTGAGGGGAGGGGAGGAGTGTGAGGGGAAGGGAGCGGGGTGAGGGGAGGGGAGCAGCGTGAGGGGAGGGGTGTGAGGGGAGGGGAGCGGTGTGACGTGAGGGGAGGAGTGTGAGGGGAGGGGAGCGGGGTGAGGGGAGGGGAGCGAGGTGAGGGGAGGGGAGCGGAGTGAGGGGAGGGCTGTGAGGGAAGGGGAGGGGTGTGAGGGGAGGGGAGGAGTGTGAGGGGAGGGGAGCGGAGTGAGGAGAGGGGAGTGGCATGAGGGGAGGGGTGTGAGGGGAGGGGAGCGGGGTGAGGGGAGGGGAGCGGAGTGAGGGGAGGGGTGTGAGGGGAGGGGTGTGAGGGGAGGGGAGCGGGGTGAGGGGAGGGGAGCGGAGTGAGGGGAGGGGTGTGAGGGGAGGGGAGCGGTGTGAGGGGAGGGGAGCGGCGTGAGGGGAGGGGAGCGGCATGAGGGGAGGGGAGGGGTGTGAAGGGAGGGGAGCGGCGTGAGGGGAGGGGAGCGAGGGGAGGGGAGCGGTGTGAGGGGAGGGGTGTGAGGGGAGGGAGCGGCGTGAGGGGAGGGGTGTGAGGGGAGGGGAGCGGTGTGAGGGGAGGGGAGCGGAGTGAGGGGAGGGCTGTGAGGGGAGGGGAGCGGAGTGAGGAGAGGGGAGTGGTGTGAGGGGAGGGGTGTGAGGGGAGGGGTGCGGGGTGAGGGGAGGGGAGTGGTGTGAGGGGAGGGGTGTGAGGGGAGGGGAGCGGGGTGAGGGGAGGGGAGCGGAGTGAGGGGAGCGGCGTGAGGGGAGGGGAACGGGGTGAGGTGAGGGGAGGGGTGTGAGGGGAGGGGAGCGGAGTGAGGGGAGCGGAGCAGAGCGAGGGGAGGGGAGCGGAGCGAGGGGAGGGGAGCGGAGTGAGGGGAGGGGAGCGGAGTGAGGGGAGGGGAACGGGGTGAGGGGAGCGGAGCAGGGTGAGGGGAGGGGAGCGGAGTGAGGGGAGCGGAGCAGGGTGAGGGGAGGGGAGGTGTGTGAGGGGAGGGGAGCAGATTGAGGGGAGGGGAGCGGAGTGAGGGGAGGGGAGCAGAGTGAGGGGAGGGGAGCGAGGTGAGGGGAGCGGAGTGAGGGGAGGGGAGCGGTCTGAGGCCAGGTGAGCCGTGTGGGGGCATCATCACACAAAGGCCACCAGGACTGCAGGCGGGAATGGCCTCCCATGGGGAGGCTGGGGCCTGCCGTCCTGGACCTGTGTGTCTGGGTGGGGAGCTCGACACGGACGGTTTTGCCGCGGTTCTGCACTGCACGTTCCCAGATCACTGTCACAGCCACCCTCGGCGGGCACCACCCTGTGCGCCGTCCTGAGGAGGCTAGCCGCCCCTGCCCGGGACAAGCGGGCGGCCGCTGTGTTTTGGCCGTCTTGGCTGCATTGCCGCCTGGCTTGCTGAGGGAACCGGGAAAGGTGATTAACTCTAGTTTTGAATCTTATTTTCGAAGCAGCGAGGCTTTTGGATTAGTGCGTGGAGAAAGCCTGTCTGCTCCTGGTACCCGGACAGACAGCCAGACAGCAGAGCCGTCCCCACACCACGGAGGGGTGGGGTGGCTCAGTGCCATGGTCGCCTCTGGGATGGCCAGTGAACTTGACATGCTCACCCTCTAGTGCTGGAACTGCTCAATCCCTACGCTAGCTTTCAGATACACAATCATTTGGTCAATAAATTGGAAGGAATGGGAATCGTGAGTCCGGCTGGCTGCAGCCGCCTGTGCTGTCAGTGTTAAAGGCCATTTGGGAAAAGGTCCGTGGCCAGTATCTGCCACGCCGGTGTCTGCAGGTCCCCAGGCCACGTTTCTGTCTGGGCACAGAGCGCCTGTGGCAGGGCCAGTCCATGGGTCCTGGCGGGCCAGCCCGGACTTACCTCCTGTCTGAATTACCTTCCCTGGCTCTTCACGTTCATAGGAGGTTTCTGAATTTTAAAATTTCTGCCTTTTGCAACAGCAATGGTTGTATTTTCATGAAGGTGCATTCTATTAAGTATAAAGAGGCCCTGATACCGTCTCCTTTAGTAACCCTACCCCCAAAACCTTGGTCTGACTGGAGAAAACATGACATTTAAAATGTGCCTGCAGCCGAAACGAGTTTGGCTCAGTGGAT